GCAGTTGGTAACCATGACGTAAAGAAGTAACCGCCAACTTCCTTATCCTCCCTTATCTCTGACACATGTCTGATGAGGGCTTAACACAGTGCAGTGATGGTCTCAAACATTCATCACTTTCTAAAAATGATTCTCCAGTTTTTTCATTTAGGAAATTCAGGCCTCCACACTTAGTCTGGTTTCACATGTGGGTGTATGGAGGTCACTTCCCTTATATCAGGCTTGTTTTGTATCTTCTGTTTGGGGAAAGAACAGATTAAATGTGCACCTGTCACCTCAGTTTGTCAACAACTTGTCACTTTTAAAATCTCGGGTTTGTTTCAGTAAGATTTCAGATTATGTTCCAAGCCTTTTTCATGTTCTTTGAATGAGTCAGGTTTATCTCTTATCTGAAGATTAGTTGCCAAACTAGAAACTTTTCTGCATCCCAGAGCCCCAGCGGCATGAGACATTCGTTTAATTCAAACCAAACTCAGACTGGCAAACACCTTGACTCTTGTTCTTTCCCCAAGAAGCCACATTAGGGTATCGAAGTTATAGGAAAACAACTTTATTCCAAAACAAAGGTGAGCAGAGCAGCTTGAGGACTGGTTTTAAACAGTTGTTAATGACAGTGAGCCAGGGTCAAATTTGAGGAAGCCGGTCGGTTTCAGGCTGATGATCAGCACTCGTAGCACCACAATGACACTGCTTCTTCACAGAAAATGAAAAAATATTAAATGCTTATAGGTAGTCTGTTATATGGTGATTGATACCTTTATTTGGTTTTGTCAATTGTAATGAAACATCATCAGGGAGCACAAATTGACACCTGATTCTTCAGACAGGAGATATTTCTCATGATAGTAAGGCTGCAGACATGAAGATGCTATGAGAAGTAATGCACAAGAAGATGCAACTGAGGAGAGCGCAAAACATGCATTGAGTGGAACGTTCCAGAACACTGCAACTGTATGCAAAACCTTTGTACCTACTTGGAAAGTCAAATATGTGACTGAACAGGACAGCATTTTGGGAACTTGCGAGAAAATATAGCAGAAATCTCAGGGTTGAGTTTAAGAGTAAAAGTAAGAGTAAGAGGTCAATATATGGTGCCACATTTGCCCTTGACCTCCTTAATAGAATACAAATTTGAAGAAATTTGTATTGCATTCCGTATTTAAAAGTCCTTAACTGTGATTTTGTTATTTTTCGTATTTCTTAAGTTTTAGTTATTTATATTTTATTTTTTGTAGAGACAGCAGAACTTCGGAGTCCTGAAACAGCGAAGAGCTGCAGGGACTCTGGTCCTTCAGCAGGGGTGTGCTGTTTCATCAAGATCCCAAAAGGTTGATTCTGTTCATCTGGACTTAGCTTTTTCAGTGGGAGAATCGTTTTGTCACTCATCCAAGTGACTTCTTCAGTCTCAGCTGACTGCAGGTTTCTTCAGCCTTATAAACAGTACATTTGCACAATGACTGAAACTAGCCCACTAAATGAACAATGGGCTGTGACTTCAGTTTGTTTCATGGAGACTTTAGCAATCATCAAACCTCCAGGTCTGAAAATACCTCAAACTCTCTCAAACTTTCTCTTATGACTACATTCAGTAAACTCACTCTGATCAACACGCTGATAATAAAGGTGTTTGGTTATAAATCTTGTTTGAAAACCACCTTAAACTTCCCGCTGACACTCCCAGTGTCATCTGGAAAGGTATATTACAGTCCTACCATTAGCTCCGTTTATTTACTCAGAGCAGTGCTGGACAAATCTCACACTTAGATGTGACATCAGCAGTGTTGGTCAAGTTACTTGAAAAAAGTAATCAAAACTAATTACTGATTACTTCCCCAAAAAAGTAATCCCGTTACTTTACTGATTACTTATTTTCAAAAGTAATGAATTACTTAGTTACTTTTTAAAAACACGATTTACAACCTGAATAGGTGATAAAGCGATAGATCTTTCAGCCCAATTCTACTTTTTCTGCATAATCCATCATACAAAATGTAATCAAATGGAAAAGTCTCTTTTTTTTAACTTGTTTTATCAGTTTTAATCTTTTAACTTTATGCATCAAGCAAAAATTTAATTATATGCACCATTCTCTGACTTGAAGAAATTAGTTTAATATCTAAACCTATTTTCTGCACATTCCAGCACATAAAATAAAATATTTGTTGTGTTTACACTCAGTCTTTCAAATAGATGCAAGTAAAACACAGCAGAAAATAAATAAAGTCAAAGACTAGCGGTCCTGTTGCTCTATTTTCACCTGTAAAGCCGGAGTGGAGTAGGCGGAGGTGTGCCCTGGTGCAGGTGTGCCGCAGCGGTCAGTGGAAGAATCTGCGAGTTTCTCTGTGAATTTCCCATTACGTCGTTGCGCACTAGGAGCTTGTTTAGGGGGGTTTTCGCTGTAAAACGAAGTTTTCTTCCCACGCTAATGTTTTTGTCACTTTTTATGGAATCAAACTCAAAGTAAGGTCAGTACTTCCACGCTTTAAACGCTGCATGCTCATACTCTCTCCCGCACTCGATATATGATCCACTGTTGCAGCACTGCACTGTTAATGCAGCGTTCCTACAGGAAAGTAACGGTAATCTAATTACCGTTTTTACAATAGTAAACCCTTACTTTACTCGTTACTTGAAAAAGTAATTATATTACAGTAACAAGTACCGCGTTACTGCCCATCTCTGGACATCAGTCACTCCTTATTTGGTCTTATGTCACATGACCACATGCTGAGCCCATCCATGCTGGAAATACACTGAGGTCATACAATCGGTTGTTTTAAATGTTTCCTATTAGATTTTTTTCTCTACTCAGACACTTAATTTATTTAAAATGCTGTCTGCAATACTGTTCTTGATGACCCTGATGAAAGGGACAAGCTGAAACTCTTTGGTCAAGTCATAAAGCTCTTCTTTATACTACATGACTTGGTGAAACTTCATTCTCCATCAAAGGTGTCAGAGCAGCATTATGTATAAACAATACAATATTAGATTATCAAAATGTTACATGTTATTTTCAGTAATTATCTCACTATAATAGTATCCAGAACTTGAAGAACTCATTTGTGAAATGATCTGATGGATTTTAATCCAGTCCTGTGACCAGCATGAAATGCAGTAATGAAATTAAGAAAGAATCATTGCATTCAATTATGTCTTCGATGCAGCAACTGTCAGTTAGTTCCTAATGAATTAAAGTAGCTATGCTGTATTTAAGCATATGACACATCTTTTTGAAATGTTTTTTAAAATATAAGAGTGGAATCTAAGGTAACCTCTGAATATTTAAACTGAACAGCATTTTTTAAACTGTTTTCCATCAGTGTAGATACTTGGGTGAATACGTTGTGTTCATTCTGAAAGAACAGTCACTGATTTCTGTTTATTCAGAATAAAATATGAATGATTTTGGCACTTTTTGAATACTGAATGTTAATTTGGCAGCAATTTGTTCAAGGTCTTTAACGTGTAAATATAGCACTGGGTCATCAGCATACATCAAGGTTTTAACACCATCACACAGATGGAAAATCATATTTACTAAATTGTTTATAGTGAACAGCAATGGTCCTAAGATTGAGCCTTGTGGTACTCCCATACAGGCTCTCAGTTATATTTTCAGTTTTATCCTGAAACACTGAAAGCAGTACGATAAGCAGGAGTCAGGACTGAATCCAGTTTGTTGGCATTGATAGACAGATGGAGTTAGATGTGGAGCAGTAAGCTCGAAAACCAAACTGTATGGGGTGTAGTAGATTTTCTCCAGTTAGATAGGCCATCAGTTCTTTAGACACAACCTTTTCAATCATTTTTGAAGAGGCTGGTGGTATATTGATAGAGTTACAGTAGAGGTTTTTAATGGCATGGGAATATACCTTCCTCCAATGACTAATTAATAAAATGACTAACAGAAGTAGTTAAAAACTCCTTATAATTCTTTAGGGGAAAGTATCAAGCCCCCAGGTGTACTTTGCTCATGAGTTTGGCTATAGTTTAGATATTTTTACGTACTTTATCATCATCATCTTTGTAATTGGGAGTTAAAGTAGTTTTACCAATTAAAATAAAGCAGATTGTATTTCTGCAAACTTTATTAATAAAATATTAATAACAAACATTAATAAAATAGTTGTTAAAACTGTTTACAAAAACGAGACTCATTTTGTATGGCCCAGTTTACTTGAAGTTGTATGGATATATTTTTCAGGTGCTCTCCGATTAATACTTTTCCACAGTAATTTAGTATTTCTCTGTTGTGTTCTGATCTCGAGGAAGAAATTTGTTAAGTTGCCCTGTGACTTTGTTTCTAATGATTCTGTACATGCAGTGGTCAGTTTTAAGCTGTGATTTTAAATATTTGCTTTTAGGACTGTATCACTTTCCCTCATTTACTGGCATAAAATGTTTTTTAATCAAAGCAAAGTTCCTTTTCTGTTATGCTTCGAAGGCACAGCTTTTATTGAATTTGGATAGAATTTCCTGAAACTTGAAAAATTTGAAGATTTGCAAAAGTTAATTTATTTCAGTAATTTAACTTAAAAAGTCAAACTAATATATGATATAGACTCATTACATATGAAGAAAGATATTTCAAGCCTTTATTTTTTTATAATGTTGATGATTATGGCTTACAGCTTACGAAAACCCCAATGTCAGACAACCTCCTGCAGAATCAGGCACTGGCAGGGGTAGCCATCTGCAGCAACAAGTTGGGGGGTGAAGACAGGACTATAGTGTCTTTCTTTTTCAGGCAAAACAGATTCAAACGTTAAATAAGCTTTCTGAGTCAGAAAGAGCAGTTGGGCGGGGCTTCTGTGAATAACATTTAACTAAAAAAAAAAAACCTGTTTTTCAGTAGCAAAAGCTTTTATAATCTTCTAAGAAGCATCAAAGCATATTAATGGTGCAGGGAAACCAAATAATTCTTTACTTAAATTTTTTTTTTTAAATTGTGAAATGCTGTTTGCATTACAGGAAAGGAATCCAAATAGAGGAAACAATGAAAAGCCCAACACATCATCTTTAATGTCCACATACAGAAACATATTATAGCCAAAATCACTGCAGCAGGACAGAAATCTGATTTCAGGTATTTATTAATTTAACTGGTTTTATGAATCTGAATTTAGTGCTTTTAAAAGGATCATTACCTTTTCTTTTTTTTCTAGCCTGCTGTGTTCCCATTCACGTTTCATCTCTGTGGGTCAGGCTGACCTCCACCCTGGAAATGATTATCTACAGCACAGCATGACCCACAGAGACAACACCACAAACACCGAGTGAAACAAGACACAAAGAAGAACATACACATGGCATATTAAAAGGGGAAAAAAAAAAAAACAAAAAGAACCCACACATTCATACACTGGCTTCTCCACCAGTCCCACCACTAAGGCACATTTACAGGTGATTTGTTCACAGAGTTAGGAGGAGACTGGTCTGCAGACAAAAATGAGCATGCAGGACAGATAACACACACTGAATCAATATGGGTCATCAATAATCAAACGAACTTGTCCAGCAGTCAGTTGACCTCATCCACAGGATCAGTAAAGTCTTTGGTACCAATAAGGACACTTAGAGATACAATCAATCAATCAAAATGAAGTACAGCTAATCAGTCAACAGAGAAACCAACCATCACCGATAATCTATCATTTTTCTTTTTTTCTGTTTTGTTGGAATCAAAACGAGCAGATAATCAATCAGTGCTGATTAATTAGTAATAGAATCTATTGAGGAACAGACTCTTGTTTCATTTTGGATTAAACTTTGGCTGTAAAAAGAAAAGAAACATTGATCACTGATTGAAAACCTGATTTTTAAAAAAGGTAAAACAGACACACTCAATAACCCCTAATCCTCCAGCAGTAAAGCCCAGACCACATGACCCTGAGGGCCGCTCTGATTGTCTGATTTTCAAAACAAAAGTCTTGTTTAGGAAATATCCCAGCAGCAGCGTCTGACGCACAGATGGTGGGAGCTGATTGGTTCCAGCTGACCAATCAGAAATGAGTCCTTAAGGCCCCGAAAAAACTCCACAAACCATGAGTCTGTTTGTGCAAAAACCCAAAAAACAAAAAAAAGAAAAATCATGGAAACAGTCCAGTAGTTCTGGAGCAGAACCAGAACTTAAAGCTTCAAGTGTCAGAGGCACGGTGTGAATTTCAGCCTGGTCCCGGTGCCACAGATCCTTCATGGCTTTCCCACATCCACGGTGATCATAGTGAAAAGGTCAAGCTTCTGGATGCTCACCACCTGGTAATTCAGAGAGTTTATGCCGTCTTTGTACATGGTCTCTCGAGTGTGAGCAATCCGGTTAAACCTGGAACCAAAAACAGCATCCAGACCCTTCAGAACCAACAGCCTCACTCTTAAAACCACATTTAGCCATCATTTTAATTAGCAGTATAAATATTGATCAGTAATGGTACTTGTTAGGCAATTGTGGATCATTATGGTTGTCAGTGTGCAAGATGATTAGGTCTTTAGCATGAATGCTCACCTCTTTTTTCTACACAGACATACATTCACGTTTCACTGATCACATCACATGCTCACACATCACACGTTCACTGTTGCGGACACACACGACATATGTTCTGCAGGAGGGGGCCAGAGTTGGAGGCCTCTGAGGTTGGGTGCAGAACTCACAGCTCTAAGATTCCAACTGGGCTCCCCATGCACAAGTTAAAACCGATCGATCTCTGTTCGTCTTGCTTTGTTCACGGGAATAAGTCTCTGAGTCAGCGAGGTCTATAAGTGTAGACCTAACAGTACTGATAACAATAATAACACATTTTTTGTGGGCGCCTTACTAAAACCCAAGGTCAGTGTTCAAAGCATAGAAGACAAAGAGTAAAAAGGATTTAAAAAAAAACAAAAACACCATTAGACAATAATTGGAGTCGATGTTTAAAGAGAGTGAGCCAGTTTGAAGATGCATTTTTAGTTTTGAATTGAATAAGGGAAAAGAGCCTGTGTTTCTAATATCAGGTGGAAGTGAATTTCCGAGCTGGGGAACAGAGCAGCTCAAAGCTCTGTTCCCAAAAGTGGTGAGATGGGTGCGGGGAACAATAAGGTGAGTATCAGAAGAAGACATAAGGGAGCAGAAGGGACAAGCAACACAAGCAGGGAGGAGCCAGGTTATGGAGAGATTTGAAAGTGAAAAGCAATATTTTAAAAGTGATTCTAGACACTACAGGCAGCCAGTGAGGTGGCTGAAACACAGAGGTGATGTGCTCTCTGAGGGTGTGGGCGAGTTACGATCAAGGCTGCAGAATTCTGGAGTTCATCAAGGGACTTGTTAGGGAGACCAAAGAGAAGAGAATTACAATAATCCATCCAAAAAGTGACAAAGCCATGGTCAAGGATGACAGCAGCATTGAGGGCAGGGCTGCCACAAACGATTATTTTGATAGTCGACTAGTCACCGATTATTTTTGC